ACGGTAGTTGATGAAGTAGTAGTGCTTGAACAGCTCGACCTTTTCGCGTTGCTCTTGCATGAGAATATCTTCCGAGGTCAATGGATGTATGCCAAACGTCTTAGAAATGACCTTCATCTCAGTCTCCGTGGGGGACATGACATCCAACCACCAGGCAGGCCGTGGGCCAAATCGCTTCGGCTTTTCGCCATTGGGCTTGTCGGGTTTTCCTGCATCCGTTGGACGCGGGGTTGTTGAGCGCGTCTGTTCTCCAGAAGAGTACTTGCCCTCGGCCTTCGAAGTCGAACGCGTTGTTGTGCGTGAGGAGTAGCCGCCGTTGGGGCCAGCATGCAGCATGTCATCTTCTGTGTCGGAAGAATCGCTGTCGTCGTCCAGGATCGGTGGATCAGGAACGAAGAGATTCCTGAAGCTCTGCCCAGGTTGCAAGAGTTCGCTGATGCTCTGGCTGTGAATGGTGTTGTCAAACGTCTCGTTGAAGTACGTGAAACGATAGGGAGCGTCGCTGTCCTCGCGATGCCAGACGCGTCGTTTCGGACGGAGGCGTCCTTCAACCATGAGCGGTTCGCTAACCTTGCGCATGCGCATGCCTTCAATTGTCCGTTGTTCCTTCTCCTCGTGTGCCCAAGCTTGTAGAACGTCGAGATCGGGCCAGCGGCGGCGTCTTCGGCGAGTGGTAGGCTCACCGGTCGTGGGGGCGTTCATGTAATCTTCGTGTCCCATCTCAGACATGTCCTCGTGGGGGAAGCAGACATCTTCAAGCGCAGAACCGGTCATGCGGCGTGCGAAGTCGCCCGGAGTAGGTGGAGTGCCTGAATGGGCGTCCTCATCGATGTTGATGAGTGCATCTCGGGATGCACTGTTGGACCTTCCTGGGTCGGACATGTGATCCAAGTCTGTCGGAAGCATAACATCGTCTAAACCGCTGCTAGCCTCGAAAGCTGGGCTCGTAGGCACGGACGGGGGGTTGTTCACGTCGTAGTCGTCGAGGTTGGTTGTAGAGTGGTGGTGTTGAGTGAACAGGTCCGGCCTGTGTTCTGGCATGGGCATGTGCTTGAAGCTCTTTGCGGAGTTCTTGCTTCCTCGGCGAGGCTTGCCGTTGTTGGAGCCATAGCTGGTGGATGTCCTGATGTCGCGTTGAGACGAACCCATGAGTGGCGTTCTATCATCCGCATCGTCTTCGCCATCACTGTAGTTCTCCTCGGGAGTATGCGACAGGCGTGAGCGTCCGTAGGAGTTTGCGGCTTGAAGCCGCTGGGGTGTGCTGACGCTGGGCTGGCTTGCCCTCGGCTGGTACATGGACGTTACAGGTACACTGGGACGACGCGTCCGGATGGTGGGCTGCTCGCGGTGATCCAGCAGAGCCTCGCTCTCGAGGCTTGTGTTGCTGAGGTTGCTGTGGGTGCGGTAGAAGCCGTTGCTCCCTCGCGACTGCCCATGACTGGCGACGTTGGCCAGGCTCGGGCGCTCCTCCATCATGGAGTCGCCTTGCGCGAGATCGGCTCCAGCTGCAAAACTCTGTCTCCTGTTTTTGCGCTTCTTACCACCGCGATGCGTCTTCTTCTTCTTAGGTGGAGCGGCTGCAGCTGCCGCATACGAAGGGCCGCTGGAGGTGGCAGCAGTGCCGGCGTTGGGGCCAGCAGGGCCAGACGGATTTGAGGCCATTACGGGAACGCGCGTGGATCAAGATAACAATTGCAGTGTTAATGCTGTGTGACGGGGGTGTGCAGCAATGATGGGCCACTGATAAGTAGACACGCAGGAGAGTGGGTGAAAAAGCGCGTTGGAAGTGCTGAGTGTGGATTTGCTGCGAATCTCGTCCTGAATCTACCAGTGACGTTACTCGGTGTCCGTGCCCTGGAAGTGTGGGCCCGCCCGGGGGGTCTAGCCTCTCCAGCTTTGCAGTTCGCATGTGTGAACCATCCGGTGGATCTCGCGCTCACTGCTGCCAGCAACCCCATCTCTGTCGCCATCTCCGCAATAATGCCCTGCTGTCTGCATGCCAGTGCGACGACTGGTTTGTACACGTTGGTGGCTGTTCTGAGCAACGGCTGTCGCGTGGTCAATTGCCGATTCGGGAACATGGCAATCCTGCATGCGCCATTGCTTCGCCCTAGCACTTGATTTGGCGCTATTACGCTTGTTTTCACTACCCCGACCTCTAATGGTAATTCCGTGCGTCACTAGTCATCAATAGATTAGAAAGAGCAAGGGACACTTCTCGACAAGCCGATCAAACAATTCCATACTTGGGTATCTCTCTGGCCTTAGCATACCCCGCCTCAAGCTGCATATCGAGTGGCACTGCAGTGCGATAACAGCTTGGTTTGTCATTGGCAGCTCTACACCTACAAAACGTAGCGGAATCTCGGGCCATAGTTTTCGCCTAGTTCCCTCTTGCTCCCACCGGTTTCCCTTTGCTGCGCCAATGTCCCGTACTTGCGATCCAGCTTCTTGTTCTCCCACGCGAGAATTGTTCTCAGCAAAAGAGACAACAGGCAGAACAGAAACATGAACCCAGCACATACAGACTGGCCCTTGACGTACAATGGCCCTTCTGATGTGGGATACAATCGGGTCCCCAGCAGAGGTCCGCATTGACCGATCAAGTTCAGGATGACTATACCTGTACCTCTACGAGTATCGCTGCCTTGGTTGTTCGTGACCCAAGGCAGCACATTGCCAATAGCTGGGAAGATTCCCGCGGCAGCCAGAAAGACTCCGAAATACCTCGCTCCTACGCTCTTAGTAGTTGCCAGGATGACGTAGCCAATTCCTCCAATGGCCGTGAGGATAGCGATCATGATACCTCGCTGTTGCGTCCGATCTGCGATGTAGCATGTGGCGATTACTGTGAGAAAGGACAAGAAGAATGGCGGTGCTGTGAGGCCCTGCGCATTAACCTTCGAGAACCCCATTTCGTTGAGGATTGTCGGGAGGAACACCGGTAGCGACGAGAATGCAACGTTCCCAGAGAAGTACATGAGCTATTATTTAGGTCAGTTAAGAACCACCACATCACGTTGTCAGACTTACACCGAGTATCCAGCCTTTTAGATCCATCAATCCCTCCAACATCTCTTTCCAGTTGATAGCTCCAATTCTTGTTCCAGCGCCAGCCTGTGCCACACCACGAGCTCTCGCAACCGCCTTTTCCTCTTCATTCAGAAACTTCGCTTTTTCCGGACTGTCTGGTAGGAAAAAGAACGCAACTGCAGCCATAACGACTGTAGGCAAACCTTCTACCAAGAACAATACGCGCCATTTCGCCATTCCAGGATCACCGCTCGTAATTCCATAGGCCAGAGCTCCTGCGAACGTGTTGGCTAGCGGTGCAGCCGATAGGAACAATCCACACCTAAGCCCAAGTTCATGCCTCAGGTAGAAGAATGAAAGCAGAAATGGCACGCCTGGCCCATATGCTATCTCTGCAGCTCCCATAAGAAACCGCAGTGCCATCATCCCTCCCCATGAAGTTGTCGCAGCTTGTACGGTCGAAACGAGGCCCCAGACGAAGACGCAGCCCGCGGCCCAAATATGCGGTGGCACGACTTTCCACATGATTGCGAGGAACCCGAAGACAATGTACGAGATGTAGAATATGGTAAGTAGCCACTGGTACTGCGAACTACTCAGGTCGAGATCTTCTTCCATGCCGGCGATTCGCGCGTTGCTAATGCCACATTAGCCATGCTTTCTCCATTGTAAAGATGTTTCGTCATACCCAATATTTGACCGGTCGAGGAATGCCAGCAGATACAGCGCCGATAGCAAAGGAACGATATGGGTGTCCAATTTCCGTCGCACGCGCTTCTCGATCACCGGGTCAATCTCGTCTTCCACCCGTGCAGCTGGCCCGGCTTCTGCGTCTCCATCTCCTTCTTTCATCATCTCGACCTTCTTCTCCTCATTCTGGTCCACGCTCTCTGGGTCTTTCGAAGTAAAGAAACGCATCTTCGTCTACGCACAGTCTCAAAATCGTGTGAAAGTAAAGCAAGAACGGCAATGCGCGGGAGCGCAGCAGGGGAGCGAGCATATTAAGCACTCCAAGACTCATGCCGAAGCTTAACCAAATGCCGAGATCGGTACGACTCCACCCCGAAGCTTCATGATAGGCGGTCTGGTGCGCTGTGTTGGGGATAAAGTGTGATGGAGTGGGGCTGGGGCGGGGAGATCGACATTGGGGGATGCACATCGTGGACGGAACGGAATTAGGCCCGCTCACCGCAGACCGGCCGAAATTCTCAACGAAGTAGAGTTCAGGCTGACACCTTAACTCTTGCGTTTGTCTTTGAGGCTGAACTTTGTGCCGCCATGCGAGGTTCATAAAGTACCCCTGTACGTATCCATATCGGTAGGTATACATCATCGTCGTCGACGCCATCAACAATCAACTCACGCCATAATACTCTTTTACCCATCCGACGGTACTGCTGCGACCAATGAAGGAAAGAAACTCACAGCTCCCGTCATACCAACGACACAAACGATGCCTAAACCCTCCATCAAATGATGACGGAAGCATGATGAAAAGAAGTAGTTGGATATCACGACAACGAAAATCGCAACACAATCTCATCCAACCCAGTACCACCAGGACCTAAAGCCCATCCTGATATCCCTCGGACCCTTCTGTACTTTCTAGTCTCGATATCTATTTAGACTTGTGTCGTCTGTATTTTCGCTGCATGCTACGAAGCTATCTCTAGTAAGCATATTCTCCACATTGTTTGCAAGACAGCAGCGAATACCCAAGAGCAAAGATCGAAGAAATGGATTGGGCATCCTACGTTTACAGATAAATTAAGTAGCGCATGAGTAGATCCTCACATGTATGGTCGTAGTCAGCATGCTAGATTGAGCAAGGCAGAGATCAGATTCCATTCGTGCATCTGCCTGTATTGAATTTCGACACATCTCAACATAATCTTACACCTATAGCTCCGATTACCTCAACGCCACACAAAAGCCATATCAAGTTAAGTACCACTTCTCTTGTCTTCCTAAATAGCAAGATGCGAAATAGTCTGCCCCTGCCCAATCTGCGGCGCCGCCTTCGGCAACGGCTTCAACCTCTGCTGTTGCACCGGCGTCCGACTCGTTCCGGGCAACGTATTCGTCCCGGGGTAAGCTTTCTTCGGATCGGGTTTCTTCTGCTCCGTAGGCGGCGTAAACGGCTTCGGTTGGCCAGGTTTGACTGCCGCCTTCTTGGTAGTCGGGTACGCGGGTTTCGGGAGGCCGTTGGTATCTGGGAAAGGCTTTGGGAGGGCTTTGTTGGCTGAGGGAATTGCGCCGGGGCCCTTGAAGGGAGGGATGGATTTCGTGGCTCCGCCGATGGCTCTTTGGCCGCTGCCTACGAGGCCGGAGGTGGCTTTTGTGGTGGTGTTTGTTACGGTGCCGACGGTGCTGTTTGCGCGGCCTATGACGCCCCCGGTGACTTTGGATGCGTTGCCTGTTACTCCTCCGACGGTTCCCCCCACGGTCTTCTTCGCTCCTCCCACAGCGCCGTTGACTTGGTTACTGCCTGGGTACTTCTTCGCACCTAGGGGCGTTCCGCTGGTAGTTGGCTTGTTGCTCGCGGGGGTGGAGTTCGAACGCTTGACTACGGGCTTTCGTGCTGTGGAGGGGAGAGCTTTGCCTGTGGATTTGTAGGTTTGGCCGGTGATTGCGGTGCCGTAGCTTGTTGCTTTCTTCTCGAGACCTGGGCGCTTGTTAGTGAGTACTTGAGAGGTATTGTTGATGATGGGAGTTAGGTAGAGAGGAGCTTACCATTTCCCACACTCCTTCCACTATTCTCAATCATATCCCCAGCCTTGATCAAGGCATTTCCACCATATTCACCCGCCGTCTTCTTCCCGGCATCTACGAAGCCCTCCACCGAGTTCCAGATGATGTTTGAGATGAAGCTCGTCATTGTATAGTATGTGTAGTGATCTCGCGACTGCAATTGATGTCGAGAGCTAGGTTCGACGGAGGAGCTATGGTAGTATCAGAAGAGCTCTATGATTCTAGACTGTTGGACCCCAGATCATGTTCTCCCGATGATGCATGGCCTTTGGCGCCACCGCAGCTTGAACCTGTTTCGCTACCCGTCGCATGCAGGGGGGTCGCTGCCGCCCCGCGTCAAATGACGTTATTGTGGCACAGCGATGTGGACCTGAACCAAAGTCCTGGCTGGCGATCTTTTTGATGCAGGTTTTTAGCTTGTGTTGTAGCTTTCTGCCGTGGCATGTCGCCAGTACGCTAAGCGGTACGGCGTTGAGGCTGAGTATCACGATGAGGTATGGTCATATGGCAGTTCATTATGTTTATCGTCAATCATACTATTCGTACAAAGCGCGCTACTACGGTCAAACCCTTTTGATTACATGTCCTCAACGCCATCGAAAAAGAAACGCTCGTGATTACTCGTTGCTTTGGACAAAAGTAACAAACTACGCACCCTGTCTGGCCTTCTCAGCGCAGATCAGGGCGATGATGCGGCTCAACTCAGCGCTCTGCGCAAATTGCTCCTGCTTGGTCTTGTCGTCCACGTCTTCGCACGCTGCGATGTCGTTGCTGACTGTCAGCATGCGGTTCTGGAGCGTGAGGAGCTTGGCGAGTGTGTTGTCGAGGAAAGGTGCGCTGAAGGTGATGTTGGTCGGCGAGGCGCCGTTGTTGGGCATGCGCATCTCGAGTTTCCTGGGTGGCTTCTTTCCCGAGTTTGACGGGGCAGACTGCTGTTGTTGCTGCTGTTGCGCTTGCTGTTGGGGCCTACCGCAGATTGTTAGCAAATGTACTTCTAGACCAGTGACTACGCGATAGGGGTCCAGATTCCGGTCGGCAGTTGTGTAGTGTGTCCCTGATTTTCCACGCCGTCGCAACCGGAACCAGAGAAAGTATGCCAGGGGAAAATTCAAGGAAGTTTGGAGGGACTCACTTCTCGCGCTCGACAAATGTCATGTTCTCTGCCATTTCAGCGACGCGGTTTGCGATTCTCGAAGCCATGATAGTGTATGGTGACATCTGAGGTTGTGACGCTCCGTTGGTTGCGCCGTTCGTCTGGGGCTTCTTTGCGCCCTGGGTAGCCTTCTTGGGAGCCCTCGAAGCGGTGGCCTTGTTGGTGGTGCGCTTTGCCGGCGCTGATGCTACTGAGGCTGCGGGCATGATGGAGGATGCGATGTGTGTTGTCGGATTAATTCTGTGATATGTGTCAGTCTCGAGCCCAAATGTGTATGAAGGTGCTCGCGTGCACCACTCGAGCATGCGCCAGGGCCGACAGCTGTCATAATTGAACGTACCGTAGTTGTGATGTAGATATGATGGGATTGTTGGAAGAGGGATGTAATGGAGACGTTCTCGAGAATCGGTATCTACTGCGGAGCGAGTATAGTGTTATTGAGTAAACCAAGAGACTAAGGAAGGGGTAACGGTGTGTCTCGAATATCTTGCTTGCTTGACTTGGTTGTACGCCGCCACACATAACGTCATGCCACGGCACGCTGACAGGGGTTGACGACGCGCAAGTGGAGCATCCATCTTGATCTCGAACCTGGAACCGTTAGCCTGCACTGACGTCGCGGGTAGCCCGTCACTGGTGCTGATAGTCGTGTTTGACGTTTTGGACTTCGATGTTCGCTCGTGTGCCAACTGTGGAAGATGTCGCCTGCTACTGCTACGAAGAAGCCCGTCGTTACCAAATCGCCGGCTGCCAAACCCCCAGTGAAGAAGGCGACGGCTCCAAAGCTAACCCCAGCGAGCCAATCAGCATCCAAGCCGCCGGTACCAGCTGCTGTTAAGAGGAAGAAGAAAGATGACCTCGGTGCTGGATTGCGGATCTCGAAAGACAATGTCGAAGCGCATCCGGCTGGACCACCGCGCTTTGGCGAGTTGACACAGGCAGAACGGGCCTTCACGTTAGCCTCGACGTTCTTGTCCGGCGTTCTGGCGTAAGCACGTCCGTGTCCACCTCCAGATACACCCAACTAACACCCGACAGTATAAGCGCATCCCAATTCCTAGGCGCACCACTAAAGCTGATTGATCCGCAATTCTACGATGGGTACATGGCCTACACCAAAGAATGCTTCGCCATCCTGATCACATGTCTCACCCAATGGTGGGCTCCGACTGTCGTTCGTGTATCTGGAGACTCTAGCATGGTCGGCCAACTTATCAAACGCAAAGACGGATCATTACAATGCAACTTTGCTGACCGCATGGTGCTCATGGCAAACCATCAACTCTACACTGACTGGCTATACATCTGGTGGATCGCATATACGAACAACATGCACGGCTTCATCTACATCATTCTGAAAGAGTCGCTGAAGAACATTCCGATCATTGGATGGGGCGCCCAGTTCTACAACTTCATCTTTCTATCTAGAAAATGGGAGGAAGACCAGCGCACATTCAAGAAACATCTAAGCAAGCTGAACAAGAAGGGAGATCCCATGTGGCTGATCATCTTTCCTGAGGGCACGAATCTGTCCAAGACTACACGCGAAAAGAGCCAGCAATGGGCGAAGAAGAATGGGTTGCAGGACATGAAGCACCAACTGCTTCCACGCAGCACTGGCCTCAAGTTCTGCCTAAATGAACTGAGGGAAACGACAGATTGGCTGTACGACTGTACTATCGCATACGAAGGTGTGCCAGAAGGACAATTTGGTCAAGATATTTTCACCCTCCGCTCTTCTTTCTTCGAAGGCCGGCCGCCGAAGTCAGTGAACATGCATTGGCGACGGTTCCACCTCGACGATATCCCATATGAGAACACACACGCTTTTGAGGTCTGGCTGAGGAACCGCTGGAGGGAGAAAGACTACATGCTAGAATACTTCAGTCGCCACAACCGCTTCCCCGCAGAAGATTTCTGGAAGAACCACCTGGACATGGACACCAAGAGCGAGAGCAGCAGAGGCGGAAACAAGACCATCCGAACCGTCCCCCGCCCAGCCGTCCAAATCGAAACCGAAGTCAAGAGCGGCAACTGGAACGAGTTCGTCAAGATTTTCGCTCCAATAACCTCCGTCATGATGGCTCTAACCGTAGCCTACGGTGCCTCACCCGAAGACCTACCCATACCCGGCGCCAAAGAATTCTTCCAAACGCACATGAAAACACTGCTAGGCCAAGGCGGCGATATCAAAGGCCTCCCAAGCCCCGAGCAGCTAGAAAAGATGATAGAAGGTGCCGCTCAAATGGGCGCCGCACAAGCCGCAGGACCAAAAGAAGTACCAGAAGTACAACGGCTTACGCAAGAAAATCTCGCCAAACTAGTCAAAGAAACAGCTATTGCAAGCGGCGCTGTGATGCCCAATGGAATGAGAAGAGCAAGTACAGCATTGCCACCACCAATGACTAAGACGCTGCAAACGCCCACTGCCGCGACCCCAGCAGTAAGGCGAGCTCAAAGCGCGGTAAACCTCCCTACATCCTCAGCGAAGAAACCCACACCCACTGCACCTAAACCAGGCACCGCCGCACACGCCCGAGCGAACCCCGCGACAGCAACCACAACCAAAAAGCCCACACCATCTCCACCCACAGGCCCCATGAAAGAAGTAATGACAGCCTCAGGCGTCATGATCAAAGTCCCTCAAACCGAAGTCGAACAGGCCAAGAAAACAGGCACGCTGACCATGGCGAATGGCGTAAAGATCAAAGTGGGCAAAGAGGAGATTGAGAAGGCACAAGAGAAGAAGGGGACTACGTTCATGACAGCAGGCGGAGTGCCCATCAAAGTGACGCCTAGCGGGGCTGTGCAAGTGCCTGAGAAAGTGAGCAACAAGGGGCAAGCGGCGGCTGTGAAGAAGACGGGGGAGTTGGCGGGGAAGATGGGGGATTTGTCGACGGGGAAGAAGATGGAGGGGAAGAAGGTGCCTGCTAAGATAGGGGGTGCGGCGTATGGGATGGCGAAGAAAGGGAGTGTTGGGAATGGGGCGGTGAAGAAACCGGCTGCTGTGGCTCCGAGGAAGCTTTGAGACGGCTGTTGTGAGGGTAAGGGAATAAGTTTTTTTTTGTGTGGGTATAGTATAATCGCGGTATTTGTTTGGCGTTGAGCTAGTATACATGACAAGGTCTTGGGTATTTTAGTTTGGTTGTATGTAAGATATCAGTATGCCATTATTGGATTTGAAGCAAAATAGCCTATCCCATGCACTGATACAGTGTTACTTGAGCCCCCAGTCTCAGTCGTCACACTGAAAGAACCCATAACCTCAGACACACATCTCACTAACCGCTATACCAAGTCGTTTTCTTGACTTGCGTATCCATCCATTCGGATCGTTCAAGTACTCGTCCGTCGTTCGTCCTTGCGCCACTAAACAAAAATGGTGTTAATACCTCAATTCCTCTTTCAAAGTGAGGGTCAAACAAGACGAAGAATGCAGATCCAAAACAACCATCCAACATTGTGCATCAAATCCCATATAATAACAACCCACAAACCCTCGCAGCGGGCAAACCGCAACAACAACACAAAAAAAATCCATGTACAACAAACATTACCTCTTCTTCCTCGCAGCCTCCTCCTGCTGTAACTTGTGCATCTTAGCTCTAGCGCTCTTGCTGCCACCCAATTTGGGTCCTGTGATGGGTGGTGGCGCGCCCTTGACAGGAGGAGCAGGTGGTTTCCTCGCTTGTTGTTTCGCTTCCATGGACTCGAAGTATTCGTTGCGGAACTGCTCGACGAGGGCGTCGTCGGTGTTGGTGGAGGTGTTGGCGTGGGGGTTTGCGGGGGTTGGGGAGTCGAAGAAGTCGACTGGAGATGTTAGTAAGGAGGTTGTGGCAGGGGGAAAGGGAGATGGGGAAGGGAACGTACGTTTAGCTTCTTTGAGTACAGCTTCGACCATCTGGTCGCGACGTTTGTCTTCTTCCGTCTTGCCGTTGGCTTTAGGCTTGCGCCACGCGTAGCCGTACTTGTCT